TCGGTAAGAATCATACGATACAGCCTTCTAAAATCAGACTACGGATTGAAAGAAGGCATATAAAGATAGAAATCTTTTTGCTTATATTGAATTTTAAAAACCGAAAATTCCCCATTCCCTGACCTAGATATCGATCCCAGGTCCCTTTACTTGAAAGTCGACCAATCGCACTTTTGACCACTCTATCAAAAAAGTAGTTAAAAGATCTGTTTGTTTGAATTAAATGCAACCTCATTCATTATCGTTATAAAAGCACTGGTCATTTTTATCTAAAAAATACAGTACAGCCATTAGGTCAGTAAAAAACAATATTTATTTCTTTTTTATCTGTGGCTATTTTACATTTTTTCAATGCAACGTGGCCATTACACGCGCAATTATTCCTTACAGGCCATACCAAAAAGTTTATAAGTTTCTTGGTTCTAAAATTAATTTACTAATATTGAAGTTTTTGTACTGAACATAATACGTCTATTTAAAAACGTTGTTAGGCTAAGTTTAGGTCCCAGTCACTGGGCAGTTGCACATGTGACCACTCTATCAATAAGGAAATGGAATTTTTATTTTTATTTTTATAAAAATCTCTTTAGAGTAGCACTCATAGATAACCGCTTGATAGTGATAAGTTAATTATTTAACTTTGACGTCACATTTTTATCAAATATATTTTTGCCAAAATTTGTTTCTGTTGTTTACAAAAAGTAGGTACTAAATAAAGCAACATTGTTTGAAACTCCTCCCCAAGACGAGACAAAGCATTATTATTTTCATTTGAACTAAATTCTGAGTTTTGATCCGAGCTTTGCATACGGCAATAGGCTTGCCATCTATATCAATAAAAATAAATTGATAATAATAATATCACTTACTAAACAACATTTTAATAAAGTAGATAAATTATATACTTATTACTTTTTAACACTAAAACCCATAAATATATATTCAGATTTAAACGACTGTGATATTTTGTGTTTCATTTTCAGTAAAGCAATAACATGCTTTCTTGAATGCAAGATATTGAATAGCTACTTCTGTGCGGATACGCGGTAAAGTGGCATCTTGACATTGACACTTCGTTGTTCATTGACATTTAAAACAATATGGCGTACTTCTTTTTAAAATGGGCGCCAAAGTAATAGATACAATAAATGAAATATTAGTTAGGTACGTTCACGCAAATAAATTTCATTATCCATTCACAAAAATATAGGCTGATTAGAACAATAAAAATATTCAATAAATTTGGTAGCGGATTAAAAAAAAATATTCGGTAATTTTGAAATTTAAACAAATTGTTTCATTGAAATTCTCGTCAGTAAATATTTATTATGTCATTAGTCTTTTTAACGAGTATAGTCACAAAATAGCCCGCGATTTATTTAGGAAAACGGAATAAATATTTTTTTTATTGACTGCTTTTATCTTTAGGTAAAGGTCATCCTTTGCAAGAAGAACTTAGTTTCTAATCTTTAATTCTTTCACGTAACCAACCAGAAATATTGGAATCTTCTCGAACAAAACTCTATTCCCGCTAAAGTTCCTAATTTGCTTGTCTTTTAAACTTATTTATTTATTTATTTATTTATTTATTTATATAAAACCTTACCTAAACTACCATTACAGGTTTCTCCATTGCGATAGCTAGGCCTTAAACTAAATCTATGTAACGTCAAATTATAACAAAATCATAAATTAAAAAACAAAAATGAACAAATTCTTGGCTAAACTAAACTCAATAACCAACTAAACTCAAAAAAGAAATTTTGCAACACAAAGAAAAAATAAACAAAAACAATTACTAATTTAAATTTAAAAATTAAAAAATCTACATATTATACAACATACTTAACCTCTAGTAGGTATAACAAGTACAAGATTCCTAAAACATAACATTAATCTATTACAAATATTAGTCTTTTCTTCCTATGCAGTTCTGTTCGGTTCACAAACTAAAACCAGAACATGCGATATGTAATTCGTTTGTTGAAAAAAAGTTAAGTAAAAAAACCTTCTTAATTATTTCAATTATATGCAACCTCATACTATAACTTTATTAAGTACTGTGTAGTACTGGCCATTTTCGTCCAAAAATTTCAGCAATATAGCCATTAGGCCAACAAAAAAAATATGATTATTTTCTTCTTTTTTGTTTTAAATGGCTGTATTACTTTTTTTACAATGTGTGCCAATTACGTGTGCAATTATTCTTCGGAGGCTGTACCAAAAAGTTTATAAGTTTTAAATAAGAAACTATTAAACAACGCCTTCAAGTGAAATTACTAATCGTTTAGGCTATTGTACTGAAAAAGTACTTCGTCTATTTAAAAACGTTGTTAGGCTAAGTTGCTTTTACATTATTTAACTGACTTTCTGAAGACGGAGAGGAAAAATTTCAATAGTTTGTAAAATAAAAATGTCTACTAAACAAAGTGGATAAATCAAAAAGCGGAATTTTCGGATTATCCTAAAATGTTTACCGCGTTTTAGGCTTATTCTATTATGGTACAGTTGTCCCATGTTTTTTCTCGTGAATTCTTTATGACAGAGGTGACCGGCGCGGCGGCCGAGATTTTCGTCACTTATAATAATACTTTTTAATTGCTTGCAATTTATTTTTAACACTAAAGCCCATGTTGGGTGACTGTGTACTGTCACTTGATTTTAAGGATTGAATACTTATATCCTGGTTCATTGTCCGAAAGAGTAGGTTTGTAGAGGTACATATTAATAACCATTACCGAGTATTTTTTCGCTCGACTTTTAATTTGGTGTGACTAATAAAGCTATTAACGCTCGAATACTGAAAGGCTCCTCAAATTTATATAGCGCTTATACAAGGTGTAGTTTTGAAACCATGGCATTTCTCGGGGGCATGTTACAGAAGTCCTACAGGTTCAATGTAAAAGAAAGCTTCGGGCCAATAGTTAAAAACACGGCTATAATAAATCGTTTAAGTTCGACAGAATTTCAGAATAAGCGACAGCAATGTTTCTTATTGGAGTTCTATGGAATTAGGAATAATATCAATTACGTGTTTGAGTTTGTGTGTGTTAAGCCGCGTTACAAAACTAGTTACAAGACGGCGGCGTGTAGTTCGCACTTACGGATTTCCGTAATTTACAAAAAAATGAAAAATATTTAAGTAGGTACAATTTTTTTATTGATTCGGACTCAGAATCGATAGCTGAGTTACCTTGTAAAAAATGACGCGGCTTTAATACAACACCTTGTATATAGTTCTCTCACTACAAATTCTTTGTAAAAAGCCAGAGATTTTAAGTATAATTTAAAATTGAGTAGCCTCTCAGTATTCGGACGTCAGTCAAATAATTCCAAAAATCCGTTTCGAATCGAAGTTATTAGATAGGCATTTTAATATAACGTCCTCGTTACCACACGAGTTTAAATAAGCGTAATATAAAATAACTCGGTAAGCCGTAGGGACGAAATATCTTACACGATAAAAATACTTGAACCTTTCCTAAAATTAAAAATACACAATCGACCAATCATGAAACGTTCGTGGGATGGTTTTTAATGAAAAAGACAGTTAATTAGCAATTCAAAGTAAATTCAATTTTTTAAAAATACACTGTTTTAACACTTTCAGTTAAACACACGATGGTTAAAATTAAATGAGCTATCCTTTGATGTGAACTGAATCCTGCAGCTGTTAGCCTAAGAACGGATGCCTTTGAGCGCGCCACGTGTCGGACAGACAAGTGCATATTAAACGATTCACATAGAAGTAATGTTTTTAATTTATGGTAAAAAAGGAATTGTGTCTATGGTTTCAAAATTTAAAAAAAGTTGTTTATGTTACTTTTTTAAGAAGAATATGATATGTAAGAGCTCTAGGCGCTTAAAAAAAGAACACTTGATTAATTTAATTGCATAAGTTGAAGGAAATGCTGTCAGTTTAAAAATGAATACGTCTTATAAGCAATATGAAACAGCAAGTATAATTTCGATATGTAATTTCGTTTTAAATTAATTAATGAATTACTGTCGGTACAATTATTACCGAAGTGTAAAAATAATGAAGTACTAATTGTGAAAGCTAGCTGTCTTCAAATTATTCACTATCTTCAATAAAATATTATTATAGATTTTTAATAAAACTTCTTCAATATAAAATTTTACTATCATGCTGTGCGAGTTTAACTACATTTTTTAATTTCCGGAGTTATCTAGTTGTATTGTTAAACGTAAATTAATATTATGAATAGCTTTAATTTTGTTATTAAATGAAGAATAGCCAGTTTTAATAAGTGAATATTCATTTATTTTATGATCAGATTTATAAAATTATTTTTTCCGTTATAACCTAATGGATAAACACGTAATATTTATAAATATTTCATTATTTTAACAAATTAATAATCAAAAACAATAATTTATTTAATGTATCATCATTCATCTTCAGCTATTTATGTCCCAAAAGATTTGGTAGCGGGACACATTACAGTTAGGACTCACTTTACAGGATGCTTACATAAATAAGAATTAATATTTTATTATTATATATTATTTAAGCCGATGTCTGTAATAGTCAGCTCATATTTTATCATAATGAAATAGTTTTAATTGCATTTTTCTCATGTGAGGTATTCATCTGATGTAGATCGTGTCACATAGGTCAGTAAGCATCCCTGCACACATTATCCATAGACAATTACTTATAAATAACTTGTCACTTGATCGACATTATTAATGTTGTAGCTATATTCATTATTACTAACTATATCAATTTTTAAGTCTAAATTTATTTTTTTAATATATTTGTTTAAATGATACTGCAGTTTAATTAACTTTAGTAAATAAAAATCCGTATTAATTAAAGGAATTGTAATTATTAATTCGTATTGAGTAATTTTAATGACTTTAAATGAATATACACATATAAAAAACATCCTAAATAGACATCCAACAATTCAAAATCACTAATATCGAACTTGAAAATATCCTAACAAACTTATGGGAGCCGCTAACGAACTTACCTGCAAGTTGGATTAGTCCGAAAGAGTTCGATTAGTGCACTGTATCACTGGTGTGAGAGAAGCGCGTGTTGCGCGCTGAGACGGCTGTACACAAGTGGCATAGAACCTCGCACTCCCCAGTTATATACCCCGGCCCAACCAGGAGCAAAGACGAAAGCGTAGCGGTTGGTGCTACGCTGCTACGCCGCGCCCAGCGTAGGCGTGCGTAGGCATCGGCCTACGGCACACGACCATAGCAATTAGCTAACATACTATAACATATCCAAAATAAATGCATTGTTTTATTAAATTATCCTTATTTATAAACTAATAAGGTCTTAATTTCTATTAAAAATCTTGTTTATTTCATCTGTGTGCTAAAGTTTTGACATCAAAATGAATCCGATTAATTATCGTCGCGATTTTAAACTTCGTTAAAGAAAGTTAACATTTATTTAGTTAGCGACATTGAAAATATACTGTTTACCTTATTTCGTGACGACGTTACTTGTTTTGTTAAAGTAGTTAAAATAATGTAAAATGTAAAGGATACTTTTAAGGTATCTATGGATCAAATTGTGTTAATATAAAGGATGATAGGAACAGCCTTAAGAAAACTGTAACCGTACACGTGTAAGTAAAACTCTAGAGTTAAAAATTTCAATAATTAGTGAAATGGAAAATAATATATTTAAGGCATTGGCTGCCAATAAAAAACTGTAGAAGGCAAATCCTCCGCTAATGTCGGTCACCGGTGACTGGCATGGCGTTTAACGTCTTAACGTTTATTACAATATTAATACAACAAAATAAAAATATAATCTAATTTCATTTGATTTAAGAATCGTTTTTTTTTTCTTTGTTGAATGATTTTAAGTTTTGAGGAAAAATTATGAATACTTATTCGTTTTTAATTTTTGTAATATTATTTTTAAAAAATGAGGGCTTACACCATATTAACCTCTACTTTTTGCTTTTTTATGGCACCTAATAAAGTATTAACTGCCTGAGTAGGTCGTGTGGTCACAAGTGTGACTGCTGAGCAAGGGGTCCCGAGTTTAACTACCAGATTGAGTCAATTATTATGAATTTCCCATAGCCTCAAAGGAAACTAGGCTAGTAAACACAAAGTTGGAAGAAAAAGAAAAAAAATATTTTCCTCTGTTGACTGTTCAAACTGGCACTAAAAACTAGCGAACGAATTCGCCATATTTTATGTAGTTCCATTTTCGAATCATATACATAAAAACCTTTACACCCGTTTTAACAGTTGCCATTCATCGAGTATAGAACTCCAATCAAAGGAACTAACGAATAAAAAAACAAAAATGACCATCCGAGAGAAGTTGCTTCTTACTCTCCGTAGAAGTTGCCAGAAGTGCACAATTTAATGACTCTAACCTATTATTCACTAATTAACTATTAATCCTAAGTGATAAGGTAAAGCTTTTTACCTAGTACACACTGAAAACACACGGCCAATTTTTGAAAATTTGGAATATCCGAATATACCCAAAATACTTTTGCAAATTAGAAATCGAACCAGAGACGTCTACCTCGGCACCACTTTACCAAAGACTACGTTTCACATATTGAAACAAAACCAACATTTTTATAGCAGGAAGCATTTATGTATGCAGCCTATATTTTTCATATAGACCTTTCCTTTACCTAGTATTTTTCCCAAAACCAGATGAGGGTATATTCTGAGTCTTAACCTGTCCCCAATAAACGTCAATTTACCACACAAAGTCGTGTCTATCTTCCGCAACTCATAAGAGGTAAATTTCCATTCTTAGACCCGTGTATATTTTTGATTTTTGAGTCTGTAAAGTAGTATCAAGAATAAAAATATCGTTCATGTCATTCTTAACAAAGACAGGTCTCAAAACAAATTTTAAGATTTTAGTATAGTATATATGTATGTACCTCATTGGTTGGCTGGACCTTGATTTTCAAACGTTATTGGTATTATTTTTAGTTTTTCGAAAGTTGGCACTGATAAAATTAAATGAATATTTGCCCCCCATTTGTGTATTTGTAGCCTACAATAAATTCACCCGCTATCCTCAGCTCACACACACAGCTGGTGAAAAGTAGTTTTTTAAGGGATAAGCATCTAAAATGAACATACGGATCATCTAATGGTAAGCGAATCGGCACCGTCCGCCCATGGACACTTGGAACACCAGAGGTGCTACAAGTACGTTACCGGCCTTTTAGGGATTAGGAATTTGATGATTATTGGAGTTTAGGGGATTGGGGAGATTGGGGACGGAGGTAATTGGGCCTCCGGTAACCTCACTCACATGACGAAATACTACGCAAGTGTTGTTTCACGTTGGTTTTCTGTAAGGCCGTGGTATCACTACGGTCCAGCTGGCCCATTCGTGCCGAAGCATGCAAGCATTTAAGTTCTTCCCATGACGTAAAATTCTTCATTTATCGAAAGTAAAAGGAACTGTTTTTTTATCATAGATATTTATGCCAAATAGCTTTGATATTTTAAACACCTACTATATACCTTTGTTCTAAAATAAAAGAACATCAACTTTACGTAGGTGGTATAAAGGAAGGTACGTCAAGAGATACGGTGGCGTCACTCTACACAACTATATTAGTACTGATGCAAGTACCTATGCAATTTAATTATTCACATGTATGTATTATTAATCTTTTTGAAATGTATGAATAACATTTATTTTGGATTTTTTTAAAATTATTGTTGCACATTTGTTAAGCAACGCTATCATTTTTTTTCTGTACCTATCCGGGAATATTATAATACATTATGCATATAAAATGTTAATGTCTTTAATACATTAAGTATTTCATAGTAAATCGATGCTTGATATTTGCTTATCCTCTTAAATCATCGCGATAAATATATGTGAAACATTACAATTCTTCTTAAGATTAAAGAATGTATACATTAAAGAAGCATTTTGTTCTGTTAATTAAAAACTTTATTATTTATCATCCTCATTTTATTACAAACCTTGGCCCAATCGATACTAATCCGATGCACTTTAACTACATGTTCAAATTACGTTACGAGTCTTCACATGATATCTCTCGGTCTCACACCAATTTTACACCTGACCACTCCATTTAATTTTATCTTCAAATTGCATAATAGGTTCCCATGAGATATTTCCCAGTCTTACACCTGGCCACATCATTAAAGTCCTACGTAGAGGTGTCGCCCTGAAGTGCGAACAATAAGAAAATCCTTTAAAAAATAAAAACAAAACAATCTTTTGTTTTACGAGTCACTGGTTCATTGTTTCGTTCGCTTTGTCACTCACTTCTAAAACTAACCTGATTACTTTTCGGTGTTTTCAAACGATATTCTTATTTTTTTTGGTTGATTTCATGTCGATTTTATTTTTATGTAATCTTATTTTAGTTCAATTCTAAAATATCATTTGGGGTTCCGGAGTTTTTCGAAAACTTCTCATCACACATAATCTGGAATTGAAGTGGTGTATTGAGTAATGAAAAATTTCTGTCATCCTTATATGAGTTATTTCGTTTTCAAGAACTATTTAATCCAAATAATCTTTTCGTATTTCATTTCACTAAGCCAGGGGTTCTCAAAGTTCCCAAGTTCCAGGGTGCCATGAAATAATATTAAACTTGTTACTACGCTGCTGGCCACAATTGGGAACCCCTGCACTAGACCATTCTATAGGGAATCATCACCAGTCTATGATACCTTCGGTTACCTGAATAAGTACTTTCAGTAGCCACTGACTGAAAGCAAAATAAAAACAAGTAGAAATTGTTCAATACACGGATTTAATTATATTAGTACTCACTTTATACTTAAATTAATAGTGTCTAGACTTTTAAAAGTAATGGAATAAAAATAGAAAAATATTATAGATAAGTAAATAAGTTTCTTCGATGATAAAACATCGTGGGTTCGTGAACAAACATTCAGAGAGATTGATTTGTAATTTATTTTGATACGTACGTATTATATTTTGAAGCCTAGTTAATCCATCGTTATAGTCAACATTATCCCTTGTGAAATTACCGCTTATATCTTTTTGTTTCTTTGGAATTAGAATAGGCTATTTATTTGCAATGAATGTTGGTACAAATTATAAGGTATTACAAAAAACCTTATTTCGTCTTTACCATTTTATATGTTTTATACATAACACAACCTTCTACTTGTGAGGTCTCACAAGTCAGTCGACTATCCTAAAAATACTAATTTTACATTTGGCATTTTAGTCGGTACTGCTACGCCAGGACTGAAACGATTTTGTAGCAGTAAATGCTACTACGCCGTAGCCTTACTCGGCGTAGTAACATTTACTTTAGCTACGGACTTATGAACTCGATGACTAGAAATACATTTTGTTCAGAGAAAATTACAAAAAATGTCAATGGCAGGTGAGATTCCAATAATGAAATGTTTCTCTTACTAGTAAATGCAGGTTCTTAACTTAATTAAAGGCGAGATGCAACACCATAAAACAGTGGTTCCCAAAGTTTTAAAGACTACGACCGATCTAAATCGAGTTACAAACCTCAGAACCCATATATACATAACATCATGGCTGTCTCTCATGGGGGGTAGCAGACTCTATGGATCCACTTTTAGGAAATGAAACTGTTACCAATAGGAAAAGTAAAATATAGAATGGTTGGTTAGCGTGTAAAATTGCACTTGCGACCCACCAATAGGTCATATCTAAACATACTATCTATCTATCTATCTAAACATATCTAAACATACTATCTAAAATCATTAACATCTTACTTCTTGAGAGACTTAAAGTTTATTTTACTTAGCCTATTGTGACTTAAAAAATAGATCCGTATTTAAACATTAAAGTTTGTTTCATAAGGAAAAGGTTTCTTAAATTATCTTTATTTTTGTATCGGATCGGCAATAATTGGTTCTCAAATACATGTGTGCAGTAACGACCTCAAAGTCAACATGACCAGGAACACAGGAACATAGGTGTCGCAGGTGTCGCTCGTTCGACAATCCTACTAACCACCTTACTGGGAACTGTCAGATTTAGCATTAGGCCTGTTATACACAGGCGACAAATAATCATATTTTCTTTTAGATTTTATTTATTTGTATAATCTTAGTTC